ACTTTGCCCATAAAGACACGCTTCTGGCAGCAGCTAGAAAATCTCCCACGCTTCCAGACCCCCATCAACACATTGCTTTGTTTCAGCCATATATAGGCCTCACCACAATTTTACTGCTAATCTGGCTACTACCTGGTGTACCCAGGAAATTGTCTTGAACTACACATAATCTTTACCACAATGCTTATATTACGTGTTAATCAAATACAGGCCAACTCCTATATAAGGGCCCCCATAGATTAGAATATACATTATATATCTAGTCATACGAACTACAGTGACCCACCCCCAATACTCCCAACATTAAGTTCTGTTGCCGTCTGCATGACTAACCTCAATCCGGTACAATGTCCTAAGTTACCAAACCTGCTGAAAGCAACAATAGCTACATGGCTCCACAGAAGCAATCCCCACAGTGTCCATTGCATGCCTCTTTGACGTAAGATGCACCTGGTAGGCGCTGTCCAAGACAAGGCCACTAAAGATAACCAAATGCATTCAATAAGGGTTTGATTTTTCGTAGTTATCACAACAAAATTTTGGGCTGTTAGGAGTCCTTTTCCCCCCTTTCAAGTGATCTCTGGAGACCACCTTTCTGTGATCTCTATATGACCTGTCAAGGGAGATTTATGTTAATACTGTAATGGACCATTTCAGCACACAAGGGGTAAAAACCGTTTAGGCGATTGTCCCCCTTTCCAAAGATGCAGGTACAGCTACTGCAGAACACCAATCCACCGAACAGGAAACCATACGAATGCCGTAAACAGCCGAATAGGAAAAACCATACGAATAGGTTTACACTCCTAGCAGTCAAACTGGAACAGCATACAGCTAATCCTCCCCCAAGAACGAGACAAAGCTTTGTGTTGAGGGTCAAGCAGTGAACAGACAGAGCTGTGGGTTTATTGTGCTTATATACACATTCTTACACATTAGCACAGGGTTTTTGGAACACAACCAATAAACACATACAATACACTCAGACACTCCCACACAAATTCCTCCCCTCTGCATTTGATTCAATTACCTTACACAATGGGTAATGTAATTTAGCACAAACAGAGAAATACAATTTTTTCCACATTATTCATAACTTGAAAAGTATGCATCACATTCACATAAACATTTTCAGAATCAGCATACTCCAAATACAAACATACGTCAAAATCATACAAATTGGTCCAGTGGTTCAAAAGATAGATGGTAGTCCTTTTGTGACCACAGGAAGCATGGCTTTTCTGCCCAAAACCAGTTCCACAGAGTCTTCTATCCTGGAGATAATTAGAAGTAATCCAATTATCTCCAAAGATAGAGGCAAAACTCCATTGAACCCATGGCAGCAAAAAGACAGTAAAATACAATAAAATAGGTTACATTTATGACATAAAATACAGACATGCAACATATGCCCAGATAGCTTAGATCTCAGTGCACATTATTACTGAATGGCACTCAGAGCACACACATAAAGTTCAATTGCCATGGAGCCAAAGTCTTTCCCATAGTCTTTCATTATACGAATGGGCTCCATGGCATAGCTATCTGGGTATCACTGCTCAAACAGGGCAAGCACCAAATGACCTGGCTTTCTTGTCTTTGCAGGGGAAAAATCAAGCATTTTAACATGGGGCCATAATCTAAAGGCAACAGGCGAGCATCCAGGCTTCTCCAATGCAATGTGGCGAGATTGCTCTCGTCACAAATACCTTTGTTCCAGTTATTCTCCCCTTTCTTTTTCTTTCCCCACAGGTAAATGTGTATATGGTTTGGAGGCGCAATGGCTGACAATTGTCACGTATAGAGAGAAACTTTATGATGAGCTAAACTCCCAATGGGATCACATTCATGAGACTACAATACAGGTCTGTACAACTCTTCTCCCCCGACAAGGTAAAAAAACACTACCACTCAGATACACAAGCTATACACCACAGGGCACTCACCATCCCCCATGATGTCTAATCTGATGAAAATACTATCTCTTAATGTTAAAGACCTTAACAGTTCATACGAGAGGCGACGAGTGTTAAATGATACGCATGCCGCAGATGCAGCAATAGTCTGCCTGCAAGAAACCCACTTTAACAATAAAAACCCACCCCAACTGAGGACGACCAGATACCCCATAGCATACCATGCGTATGCTCCTAATAACTCGAATAAATGATATTGGCTTCCAATATCATTTCTATGCAGATGACATGCAAATCTACCTGTCCTCTCCTGATCTCTCCCCGTCCCTCTTGACTAGTGTCTCTGACTGCCTCTCTGCTGTTTCTAACTGGATGGCTGCCCACTTCCTAAAACTCAACTTGACCAAAACTGAAATTCTGGTCTTTCCTCCCTCTTGTTACTCCTGTGTCTCTCTCCCTCCAAGTGAACGGTGCTGCCTAGGTGTTCTATTTGACTCCGACCTCTCCTTCAAGCCTCATGTTCAATCTATCCTGTCATTTCCATCTCAAAAACATTGCGTGCATCCGCCCCTACTTAACTCCAGATGTGACTGGTCCATTCCACTGACCTTTCTCGCCTTTACTACTGTAATCCGCTTCTCAGTGGTCTTATGTGCTCCCAACTTGCGCCGTTACAGTCCATAATGAATGCAGCGGCGAGGCTCATCTTCCTGTCCGCCTGCACCTCCCATGCCTCACCCTTCTGTCAGTCCCTACATTGGCTTCCTATAAAATATAGAGCTCAATTTAAAATGCAGTTTTTTGCTTTCAAATCTCTACATAATGCTGCTCCCACCTATCTATCCTCCCTTACACACAAGTATGTCCCGTCTAGGCCCTTACGATCTGCTGAAGACTTACGTCTATCTTCTGTCCGTACTCCCACCTCTGATGCTCGCCTTCAAGATTTCTCGAGGGCTGCACCGTTCCTGTGGAACTCGCTTCCCTCCTCCGTTAGATGCTCACTCAGTCTCCACTCCTTCAAAAAATCGTTAAAAACCCACTTCTTCATAAAAGCGTATCAATTAAACTGTTAATAGCTCCTGACTGATTCCTCCTCTGCAACTGTCACTAGTCTACTATCCTTACCTTTTTGTGTCATTTTACCCCACTCCCTCTAGCATGTAAGCTCATTGAGCAGGGCCCTCAACCCCTATGTTCCTGTGTGTCCAACTTGTCTGGTTACAACTACATGTCTGTTTGCCCACCCATTGTAAAGCGCTGCGGAATTTGACAGCACTCTATAATTATCATAATAATAATAACAATAATAAAGGCGTGGCAATACTATTTTATTCAGACTGGGCATTTACACTCCGTAAGCAATACACTGACCATGTAGGTAGATTACTAATTTAAGTGGGCGAATTGAATGGAATCCTAGTAACCGTCGCATCCTTCTACGCACCTAATGAAGCCCAATTTTCTTTCCTTAATAAAGTGATTAAAACAATCTCATCCATGAAACAAGGTCATGTGATAATCTGCGGGTACTGCAACTGCACCCTAGACCCCTCGCTCGATATACAACTCACACAGGGTAAACCACCCAGCAAATCCTCAGTCCATGCAAGCAAACTTTTCTCACACCTTCACTCACATGATATTTACGATACATGGGGAAACCTATTCCTTACAGTGCAGGATTACACCTACTTCTCACAGGTACACATGACATACACACGGATAGATCTCTGCATAGTGGACAAATCTACACTTCATCAAAAACCACCTAATAGGCCAGAGAACATGGTCAGACCATGCACCAATTGTGATCACAATAGCAGTACCATACCCAGCCAAGGGCTGAGGCAAATGGAGATTGAATGAAACCATTCTTGACTGCCCCAATAATCTACAAAGTGTAGCATCAGCTATATCTACGTACTTCTCTTATAACTCAAGAAAGGACACTACATCAGAAACCCAATGGTTAGCCCACAAAGCAGTGATCAGAGGGGAACTCATTAAAATAGGTTCGACCATTATAAAGAAATTCCACGACAAAAGAAACACGTTACTCCAACACCTTGCTTCACTAGAACAAACAAATAAGACCTCCCGTCCAAATCTACATCTAAACAAATAGCTAACACGCAGCCTGATCTCCAACAACTGTACACCTAAGAGTATACTAGGAACTTGCAAAAACTTCAACAAACCTATTACAGCATGGGAAAGAAAGCAGAGGAATTGTCAATGGTCAAAAGATATGATTCTTGTTCAGATAGATTGATGGAGGCCCGCTGTTATTATAACCTTTGACCCAGCATTCCAGGTCAGACTCCCATGTGTATTAAGAAGGGCCTCTTTCTGAATGCATTCATTTAAACATATATAGTAAAAATCCTTTGTGTAAATTATATTTTCCATTCAAGTATAACCATTTTTATAAATACACAAAAACAAGTTCTGCGCTCAAACTCCCATTACTCTTTGGCGGCAGCAATGACCATGGTACACATCAGCCCCAATGCGTACAGTAAAAACCAAAACAAAAAGTTAACTATTTTCATAATGTATGGCTTTAATTCTAGATTGGATAGAATGGTTATTAAGCCACAACCCTTTTTACACATATTTTAAATAGCCTTATCCTTATGTGTACGCCTCCTAATTAACTAACTGAATTCTTAGACATATAAAAGTTTTTTGCAAATATATATTCATCACCAATACTTAACATCAAAAATAAATATTAACTTGAAGTGCATACATATTGCTGTATTGGTACAGACGTGTGCAAACACTTTCTTATTTTTGGATGTCGTGTATGTTTAAATAAATATACATTTTAAGACAATCTGATTCGATTATTGGAACTCTGATGTGACAAACAAACATCTCAGGACTAACTAATTTCCTACATTTAATGGTAGAAAAAGCATGGGAAAGATTTAAGGCCGAATTATTACTGGATGAATATCTAAAAAGACTTTGCTGCAAGAAGATTACAAGAAGATAACTGTAGAAAAAGTCAAACTGTTCCTTGCAACGAGTGGTAGTATCCTGCTTGATGCAGGAGGAAGATATGTTTTCTGAAGCCATGGACATCAGCAGGGTAGGACAAAGGGGCGAAGGGAGGACTTGCCTCCCTCTGCATTTTTCAACTTGTCCCCTCCCCATAGGTAATTTTCCCTTGGACTGTGACCGTTCAGTCTGAGGGAAAGAAGGAGGGAGGTGCTTGGGATGCACTTAGGCTGCCAAGGGTCACAGAAAGCACTGTGAGGCTCTTTTCTGAATCCCTAGCAATTTGGTGCCTCTATGCTCTGCCCCCACATTCAGACCCCGCATCAAATACACAGTTAACTTTTCTGAAGTGAGCTTGTGTGTATCAGTGAGCTTGTGTTTTTATGTCAAATGAGTGTATGTGTATCAATGAGATTGTCTGTCTGTGTGTTTGTGTCAGAGAGATTGTGATGGATCGCCTGGCACCCCGACCAGGTGCCTCCACCAATTGATGCTCTTAGTGCTTACTGAGAACTCCAAGCACTACACCAGACACGATCAGCACTCTAGCCCCTTAGCCGCCATAGCTTGGCTGGGGTCTTGTCGTCCTCCACACACCCTGGACCCAAAACTAGGATACAGCTTTCAGTGGGTGAACCTCTCCTATTCCAAAGAGTCTAGCAGGAACAGCTCTTATAAGAGCTAATGATTAAAACCCAAGGGAATATTGTTATATAGCAGATACAGTAGCTCCCCTGACACATGAGATAAGACTCTATGTTGAGGGTAAATTGTAGGAAGTAATCCAGGCACTCCAACAAATTCCAAATATAGGCAATTTTATTGGAACCAAGAGTTACACAGCTGTGTAACTCTTGGTTCCAATAAAATTGCCTATATTTGGAATTTGTTGGAGTGCCTGGATTACTTCCTACAATTTACAATTTTATATTTGGTCCATATTGGTACTGGGACCTGTCCAGTGGAGCACCCTGGATTCCTAGATGAAGGGTTGAGTGGACTTCCATTATTCCTTTTATCTATGTTGAGGGTAGGCAGAAACTAATTTTAATGGTGCAACGCTTGGCCTTTTATGACCATCCCCATGCAAAGGGTACGCCCACATGGACCTTGTGGGGTACTACAAAATAAAGTCACAGACCAATAACAATAAGGTTTAAACACATGACACTTCCATAGCAAACATACAATCCCTCCCCTCTGCTTGGGAGATAATTGAGTCAGATACTGCATGTAACGGATCCTCCGTCAATTGATGTTCCTAGTGTTTACCAAAGACCATCAGCACCACACCAAACACCATAAGCACTGCAGATCCCACGAACTGCCGCTTTGTTGGGGTCTTGCTGTCCTCTACCCACCCTGGACCTATGACAAGGCTCCATTGGGTGAACCTCTTTTCCTTCAGAGAGCAAAGCAGGAACAAGCTCTTAAAAGAGCTTAGTGATTATAGCCCATGGGCATATACAGGGTATAGCAATCCCTGAGTGTAGATGCAGCCTTTTCCGCCACACATGTGATGAGGCTCTATGTTGAGGATAAAACAGGAACTAAGCAGATCTGAGAGTTTATTGTCTTTTATACAGTTTTCCCCGCAAGTGGAGCACTGGACACAAAGTCACCAAGCCAATCACAACAGTATTGTGCAGTTAGACACTCCCAGATAATGTACACAAACCCTCCCTTCTGCTTGGGAGATAATTGAGTAAGATACTGTAATTAACTCAATTATCCCCAAGCAGAAAAAACTAATTTTTCACAAAACACAGAAAACACCCCATAACACCACATATCCCCATAAATCCTACATCCCCAGATAGCCCCTGATCTGGATGAACAACATATCAAAAATCACCCAGATCAGAGCAGGGGTTCGGGAAATTCCTGAAAGTCATATTTGACCGACGCACATTTTCATGCCCAAAACAGTTCCAGAGAATTAGGCTGTACGGCCGGTCTATTTCACATAGTTCCAATACAGTTTGAATGCATGAACGGGGGCCGTTTGTGCAAATAGCCAACGTTAACGTGGCGTTGGAATTGTCGAATGATGTTCGACTCCTGTTGAAGCGTTGAAGTTCCGGAGAAGGTTAAGTTCAGCGGTGTTTGTGCCGTCCGATTTGAGTTCCATGAACTCGACGGCAAAACACTGCTGACCGCTTTTGGCTAAACAAGATGGCCTCCGCCACGTGTACGACTATATGAACGGCGACCACCCAGCCATTTGTCAATTAGCTTGCGGTTAACCACCGGCCTGGGAGGTAAATTGGCTGCACACTCCACTTGCGTGTGGTCTGGCTGTTCAACAGTTTGTTCGGTAAACCCGATTTACCCAACATAATAGGGAAAAGGCTTAAACAAGCCTTTTCACAGTCTAAAAACAAAGTTTTAGTGCATGGGCCATATTCCTGGGGCATAAAGGCCCCTCCAAAACCTATTGTTGAGGTTACTTTTGCTACACTGCTTTAACTCAATTGTCCTCAAACAGAAAAAAACATAATTTTATAGAACCCCAAAAGTACCCCAAAACACACAAGATCTCCACAAATGTTACATTCCCTGATAGCCTTGATCCCGGTGACCAACATATACAAAAATCACCCAGATCAGTTCAGAGGTTCAGTAATTTCATGGAAGTCACATTTTGACCGACCGCACGCATAATTGCATGCCCAAAACAGTTCCACAGAATCACGGCTAAGTGCCGCTGGGGGACCGGCTGGCATTTGCGGGTATGTCCCCCTGAAGTCTAGTTGCGATTTTGGTCCATGCAAATGACTGCCAGTGAGCAAGTATCATGTTCTATGTAAAGTGCCGAACCAGTGGGGATAAAATATGGGTCTTTACAGGTGCTGACCTGGCTCATAGTCTATTGGCAGGAGGCTGGCAAGCAGGCCAATCAAAAGCATGTGTCTGCATGTGAGTATGCTTATTGTCATTACAATTATGCCCCCCCAAAGCAAAGCAAAGCAAATGGTTTAAAAAGGAAAGTCAAAAAGTTGCATTATTGTAAAAGTGCTTTTTTGAAACTAATGATTCTATGCAAGAATGGTGTCAACTTAAACAGGCAAGTAATTATGTTTGTAATACATTGAAACAAAAATGAGATGTGTTGTTAAAGCAACTGAAAAATATGTGTTGTTGCAAAGTCTTATTAAGTTCCCTAATTATAGCAAAGGAAAAAATAGAGAAACAGGAAAAAAAAATGTTGCTTTCACAGACACACTTTTCACTAGGGATACCCCAGCAGGACTGGCTCCTGTTAAGTATGTGTCTAGTGACTAGGATAAACGGAGATATGAGGTTAATAATGGAAATGGTCATTTTAGAGGGCATGGTCTAGGTGTTCTTATGGGAAGCATTCGAAACATATATGACCACTTAGGGAAGATGTATGCATTTATTAAATTTATTCTGCCCCACCAAGAAATTTCTATTTTTTTCCCCATTTATTCAGAGCTTTGGACATATACCTAAAGTTTCTCAAAAAATTAATCTGCATTAATTCTGAGGGATAACTTGTCAAAAAAACTCCTAGGTATGGGATACTTTTTTTAGCCCATTTAAAGTTATAGGAATCTTGTAATTGGGTCCTGCTGGCAGTATCTAAATTAATATCTAATATGATTGTTTTATCTTCCTTTAATTTATAATTAGAGATTTTGCTGTAGTCCTTTACTACGTCCATAAAAGCTTTTATGGATTTAATAGGGTCGGTAAGGGTGAAAATTAGGTCATCAGCATACAGCTTCAGTTTCAACTCTCTATGTTTAATAATTATACCTCTTATGTGTTGGTTAGATCTTATTTTATTAGCCAAAATTTCCATAATAATTATGTAAATGATAGAGGGACAGCGGGCAACCCTGTCTTGTTCCATTATGCAAACTGAACCAGTCAACGCATGTCAGGGCTCACTGTCCTCACTGAAGGACCGGTATATAGAGTCATTATGGCTTGATGGATCCATTCCTGGAATCCAATTTTTTTCAGGGTTTTGCTCATAAATACCCAATCCACTCTATCAAACGCTTTCTCAACGTCCACTGTTACTTTAGAGAGGGAAGGTTTTGTTCTATTAGCCAGGTCTATGATGTCAGTAATACTTCTGGTGTTATCAGATGTGATTCTGCCTGGTACAAAACCTATTTTATCAGGGTCTATTATATCAGGTAGTGTGGTTTTCATCCTATTTGCTATTATTGCAGCAAAGATCTTAACACCAGTGTTTATGAAGGAAATAAGTCTATAGCTTTCCACCTGACTTGGATCTTTATTCTGCTCTGCTTCCATATTGGTGTTATATTTGCTCTTAACATTTCTTTAGGGAATTGTCCGGTTTCTGCTATGTTGTTAAATAGATCTGCTAACTGTATTATATTTCCCAATAGACGTGTGAGATTTGGGTCTGGTTATTCATCTTTATTGTTGTTATTCTGCTTGAGACCCTTTTTGTCTCTAAGCTTCTTGATTAGAAGTTTGTCTGCTCTATTCCCTGCACTATATTCTTTCAACCTATGTTTTCCCAAAATTTTAGCATTCTTTTCTATATTAATTTGATTAATTTGATCTTTGATCATCTTAATCGCGTCTGAATTATCTCTAGAGGGATTTGTCTTGTTCTTTTTCACTTTTTCAGCTAAATGATTGTAAAGACTTTTGTTCCTATTGGAGTGCGCTTCTAAGCTTATTAGGTTACCTCTCATGCTAGCTTTAAAGGAACACCAATTGTTAGGGTATGAGGTTTTGTTGGGCATGTTAATTTCAAAATAGTGTACAATCTGGGATCTAAGAGAATCTAGATTTGGTTTACCATGGAGTAAGTAATCTTTTAGTCTCCATGTAGCTTTGTTTATAGTATTCCACTGGTCTTTCATAGTCCAGGTGTTAATGCTATGGACCGACCAGGTATTGTCCCTGATTTCAATCTTCTCTACCTTTTCTAAAGCTGTTGCGTTGCCCCCACAACATGTCAATACGCGAGTATGAGTAGTGTACTCTAGAAAAGAAAGTATAGTACTGTCTATGGAGGATCTCCATAGGAAAAAATAAAATTCATTCGAAAACCAAAACCGAAAATGACTTTTTTCCCCATATGATTTCAAAAAAGTTTTTTCATATAGTTTTTGTAATATTAGACTTTAAACTAAATGTAATTAATCTAATCTGAAAACCTTTCCTTCTCTTTTAGTGGTCATATTGCGTTAGGGCGAATAGTGGTGGTTTCCACTTGGATGTTCTAACTAGCGCATAGTTATCCCCCCCTCCCCTGTCCCATACACCCTGTTCCAAATTATTATGCAAATTATATTTTTCTCATTTACCTAAATAATTGATGTAAATAGCAGTCAGCATAATTCTCATGTTATCAACTATTAAGAGTACAATTCAAATTTTATTGAACAAACCTCCTAATGAGAACAGTATTTTTTTAAACATAAAAAACTTACAGTGCACTGTTCCAAATTACTAAGCACAGTAAGTTTCAAAACACTTTATAAGTTGTAAAGAACTTAAAATTGCCAATTGTTGTGTTTGCAGCATATTTACTGAAATCAAAAGCTATTTCAATCAAATTTATAACAACATTTTAACTTTTTAAAAATGTTAACAGGTCACGTGGCATTTTAACATAGGACCCCTTATTTGATAGCAGCTTCACAAGTCTTGCATCCATTGAACCTGTGAGTTTTCGGACAGTTTCTGCTTGAATTTGTTTGCAAGATGTCAGAATAGCCTCCCAGAGCTGCTGTTTGGATGTAAACTGCCTCTCACCCTCATAGATCTTTTGCTTGAGGATGCTCCAAAGGTTCTTAATAGGATTGAGGTCAGGGGAGGATGGAGGCCAAACCGTTACTTTCTCTCCTTTTATCCCCATAGCAGCCATTGATGCAGTGGTATTCTTTGCAGCATGAGATGGTGCATTGCCATGCATGAAGATGATTTTATTACGGAAAGCATAGTTCTTCCTTCTGTACAAGAGAAGAAAGTGGTCAGTCAGAAACTCCACATACTTTGCAGAGGTGATCTTTACACCTTCGGGACCCTAAAGGGGCCTACCAGCTCTCTTCCCATGATTCCGGTCCAAAACATGACTCCCCCACTGCCTTGCTGACGTCGCAGCCTTGTTGGAACAGGGTGGCCGTCCACCAACCATCCACTACTCCATCCATCTGGACCATCCAGGGTTGCACGGCACTCATCAGTGAACAGGACTGTTTGGAACTTAGTCTTCATGTATTTTTCTGCCTTACAATCTAATTATCACAGGTGTCCGAGATTGTTTTCAGTGATCAAAAGAGCCCGGAGACACAATGCCATCCACATTTTCCTGCACAAAACAGTTCCATAGATTTGGGCTGTGTTGTCAGTCAATTTCACACTGAAAAATGAGTTTGAATCGCAGAATGGAACTTAGTCTCTGTGGCTGAAAACCCAGTGGAGGAGAAGGTAAGGGTCAGCGGTGTTAATTAAAATGTGTAGCTGATTTCAGTTCCATGAATTTAGCTGCACACACCGCTGACCACGTTCAAATGACTAATTATGGCCACGTGTTCGTTTGTACGAATGGCGGCCACCCAGCGGTTGGCAATTTACCCACAGCAACCTCCAAGCCTGGGAGGTAAATTGCCGACACGCTTCCACTTCTGTGTGGTTTGCCTGTGTGGTACTTGGTTTAGTAAGCCCCATTTACTGAACCAAGTGGGAAAAGTACACAAACACAGGTTTGACTCGTGTGCCCTTAGAATCCATGACAGCAATGAATACTAAGGGCATGGCTGTGAGTGGCCAGTGGAGCATGTGCCTCAGCCTCTATATATAAGCTGGAGTCACGTAGTGCCACACATCACATGAGCTGTTATTAGTGTAGGGAGACGATGCTGCAGCTGTGAGGGACAGATTAGGAAAGAATTCTGGTGTTGAATCTGCAAACTACAGCGATTATTTTTGTGGGCGCTATACTACATTTTTGTATCCTGCCATGAGCCCAGTGCCACAGAGAGTGTAGTGCAGTGCGGAACATTACTTTAATCCTGTTCTGGTAGCTCAGTGGGCAACATCTGGGCATTTTTAAATACTGCAATCTTTTTGGTGCTAAATAGTACATTTGTGTACTGCATTTCTTGCAGTCTAATAAAACCCTTAAATATTACTGTTACATTGTTGGTTTAAAAAAAAAAACACACTTTTTTGTGCTAAATAGTTTGTGCTCTATTTTCCAACTGACACTGGGGGCTCAGTGGAAGTACAAGGCAAAAGCAGAGGAGGAGGAAGAGGTCGCCAATGCAGCTGGGGCACCGCCAGCACCTCACAAGGCAGGGCTAGCATGGCTGAAATGTGGAAAAGCTTTGTCAGCCACAACAACCAGCACCACCATCTGATATGGAACGTCTTAGCAGGAGGCAGCATTTCAGCAACATGGTGGAACAGTACGTGTGCACATGCCTACACGTACTGACTGATGGGTCTGCCCCATTCAACTTATGAGTCTCCAAATTGGGCACATGGCCTGAGCTTGCTCTTTATGCCTTTGAGGTGCTGGCCTGCCCTGCAGCCAGTGTATTGTCTGAACTTGTGTTTAGCACGGCAGGGGGCGTTATCACAGACAAGCACAGCCGCCTGTCCACAGCCAACGTGGACAAGCTCACGTTTTTTAAAATGAACCAGGCATGGATACCACCAGACTCATCTGTACCTTGTGCAGAATAGACATTTATACCGACCTCACCCAGCCATTGTTATACTCAAGTGCACTTTCTTTGTTTTCTTTTTTTATATGTCCCAATATTTTGGGGGCTACCCCAATTAAATATTAAAAAAAAAAACAATAAAAACCAGTGTTGGCTACCTCCACCTCCTCCACCGCCGCTTTCACCTACAGTGACACGGTCACCGCCTCCTCATCCTATGGGTCACTTAGTATAAACTATGTACACAATAGCAGAGGCTTGTGAAGGCCTTTTCTCCATGCATCAGGAGTTGAGCTCAGTTTGAATAATGAATACCCTGCACTCCAACCCTCTCTCCAATGGATAATTCTGGTGATCCTCCTGACAGCCATGCTTTAGATTTTGATTTATGTTCTTCCAAAGCTAAAATCAAAGATTCCATGTAGTGCTATTTTATGGCTCAGCTGTATTTTTAATTTTTATGTATGTTGTGTTATTTTAAGTGATTTCACTAGCCAAAATTGTTTGCAGGGCACTCTTACCCCCATTTTACTTAATTTTGCAGCCCTCTAGCCCTTTCCAGGACGTTTTTAGAGAACTTTTAGTGCCCAAAAGTTCGGGTCCCCATTGACTTCAATGGGGTTCGGGGTGAAGTTCAAGCCCGAACTCTGACTTTTTGCCGAAGTTTGGATGAACTCGGTGAACACGAACATCCAGGTGTCCGCTCAACTCTAATTATGTTCCAGACAAACACCCGGAACAAAAATAACTTGTTTTTAAAGAATACGTCCCCTAATAAATTAACTTAAATTATCCAATTACCAGAGAAATACTTCCAGGTATAAACTTTGGGCTCTATTTATTTAATCTAATGGGACTTTACTGATTCAGTTTCATGATTCTGTTTATTTCTGATACTTATCACTTTTGAGCCTTGTAGGCTTCTTTACTCTCCACTAAAGATAGAACCTTGTGTATGTTGTAACCCTGGCGACCTCTTACAATTCAAGAGTGGAACGCATGATGGCCGCCGATTGGAACACACGCATCATACAGGCGTGGCTACCGGAAATGACGTCACACGAACAAAGAATACCCTGGAAAATTGATTATGGACAAGCCAAAACAGCTGAATTTCATTGGAAACACCATGAAATGTGTAGGACCATTTTTCTTGTATTTTATTTCATTTTTTATACATATAATAAAGCAGTTTATATTTTCTGATGTATCCCAAGTCTGGCTTTCCATACTGTGTCGTCATCATCCAAAAGCTGAGAGAGAACCCTGGACAAACCCCCCAATCATCCAAGGGGAAGCACCCTATGGTGATTTTTAAGTCTCCATCTAGCAAATGCAATTGAATTTAACGCACTCAACCTATTTTAACTGTATTACACTGTTATATTGTTATACCTTTCTGTAGATTATCAGCTGTATCCTCTGTATTCTGTTTGGCAATATTTGATGTGTAGTATACTGTCTGGAATATCCTGAGAGAAAGCTGTTTTCATTTGTATTGGAGAAGTCAGTGATTCCCAAACGGTGCACACAGGTGTACCGTGGAATGTTTCCCCGGTGCTATGATTATAGCACCGGGGAAACATTACTGCTGAACCAGGGCCCGGCCGGGTGCCCCGGTCCTCTAATACAGCGACCGGGCCCCTGTAATGTCAGCTGGCTGGGGGAAGAGAAAGCCTGTGTTACAGAAGTCCCCTCTGTCTGCTACAACCTGGTTACTTTTGCTATTATTTTTGGTTACTTTTACCCGAACAAGTATTACAGGCCATTCGTATGTGGCATGTGGCGCCAATTAACCCCGTTCACCTTTCAAAACACCAAACAAACTGACGAATGGACAACCACCCTACCTGAAGAGTGTGCCTACAATCAACCACCCAGGAGCTGCGGTTTTGTTGTTAACCGCAGCCTATTTGACTGTTGTGACAAAACCCCTGTTTTGCTAGATCTCTGTAGTCTTTCGGGTTCATCTGTTATTTGTGTATTTGGCCCCTTCCGTGCATTTATTAAAAAAACTGCTAGACCACCAACAATGGACGTGTGCCGCTCATTAACCACCCAGCCGTTGCTGTTAACCACGGTTATTTGATGAACGGCTGGGTGGTCACCATTCGTTTGTCGAATACGTGGTGGCGGCCATTTTAAATTGTCGAATGCCCAGCGGTACTTTGCCGTCGACAGTGTGGAACTATTGTCGGTCTTAATTTCAGACGAATATCGCTGGGGCTCACCAACATCCATTGCATCCATATCCAGTTGCACGAACACCATGCCGTTTGGAACATTTATTATACAAATAAGACCGACCTCAGGTAGCTGAATTCATGGGGCTAATTTCAGACACATTTCCACGAATAGCCGGTGAACCAACTCACAGCGTTCGGACTGTGTTCGTGGGATCTTAGTGCTGTTCAGCTATTTTGAGCACTCAGATCTAAGCTATCTGGGGGTACGTTGAACATGGGGATTCCGTTCAGCGAAATACAAGTTATGGATTTTAATACTTTTGTTATATTGTAAAATGAATATGTTTCTCTCTACCTGGAGATAATTGAGTTTACTCCAACCTCTTAAGCCAATTATCTCAAGGATAGAGAGGAGGGATTGCACTGTTTGTGTGGGTGTGTTTATTATTGTAATGTGAAATGATTGGTTACTGTATTTTTTGTCACAGTCTTCCACAAGTGAACCTTGTTGGAAGACCTGCATAAAAGGCCGAGCTGTGACCGTCAATAAACCAGACTCATGCTTAGGGGATTGGGAGCTATAATCACTACTTTGCTCTACTTCAGCTGGGATTTAGGGAGAAGCTACATGGATCATTCCTACAGGGATAGCAGGATCCGTTACAACTGTCTTCAGGGTGGTCACCGTTCGTATGAAAAGTGTCGAACGGGGTACTGAACTAAAAGACAAACTAACTCCTGAACGGCCGATCACCTGGCCCCTGGTGTGTGCCGCCAGGTAACCACCTTGAAGCTGCGTTTTTTGTGGTCAACTGCAACATAATTGATCATCGCCAGCGTGGTCGCCATTCGTATGCACGAACACGTTGTAGTGGACATCTTTTATTGTCGAACAGGCGTGGGGGTCCTGGTCGTCAAACACGTGGTACTATTTTCGAACAATAGTTTGTGTGAACCTCGCTGAGATACATCTTGCCCCGTCTGTTCATGCACAAAAACCTGAAAGACATGCCGTATGACACTTGGTATCCACAAAAGCTACCGGCCATTGGAAAGATCCCATGGCCGAGGATACACGGGCTGCTAATAGTTGAACAACCCTACAGACAATTTTCATCCCCATGGCATTCGCATACCATTAGTGAGATCTGAGCTTTTTGTGTATTTTGTGCACTCAGATCCAAGCTGTCTGGGGATGGGTTGAATGTGACATTTAAACATTATAATGTGAAAGTTATTCATTTTTATTCGGTTTTCGTGTATGTATAAAAATTTGGTTATTTCATGTACCTGGAGATAATTGAGTTACTGTAACCATTGAGACTAATTAATTCCATTCTGTAAAATGCAGTTTATTTGTATTGGCTGTGACATTTTGTTATCCTGTGTACCATCAGGTCCAGAGGGGTGTTCCTCTGGCCTGAAAATCTGTATAAAAAGTCGTCAATGAGTATCCATCAAATCAGTTCTTCTTACCCTCAACTCGCAGCCTCGACTCATGTTGTAGGGAAAGGCGTTATACTAGCTTTACTTATAGCTAGGGGGATATCTACATTTACAGGATTGCTGTGTTATGCTGTTCTGAGTGGCGCTCTCCCTCTCCAAGATCGGGAACCAGGACATCTAAGCGGCCAACCTTCAGCTAGCCTGGAGGCAACCGTAACAGCCTGTCACTTCCTCCCAGCATCATGCAGAGAGACCGCACAGGAGAGAGGCAGCAGCAGCATGAGGGGAGAAGAGCATTAAGAGCTCCAGACCCCTCACTACCACAGCAGTAGGACTCAATTCACCAGATATTAAAGAAAATCACTTGTATATGTGTGAGCTTGTGTGTATATATATATATATATATATATATATATATATACATATATATATATATATATATGTATGTGTCAGTGTACTTCTGTGTCTGCGCATACATTTCTTTGTCAGGGTGTGTTTTTATATCAGTGTGTGTATCTGTGTCATGGTGTGGGCATGAATCAATGTTTGTGTGTGTCAGGGTGTTATGGGCAAATACTAATATTACAAGTTTTAGAATGAAATGTTGTATTTCTTAAACTGTGTACTTTGTCTTTAAGAGATATTGCAAACTGACAAGGTGTTAGAAATGGAACATATTGTTTTTCATAACTGTTTCTTTAAGCAATAACCTCAGTGCATAATATTTTTTGCACCATTTTGTCCCAGACGAATTACAATGACAATAATGCATAAACAAGCTTCAAGGCTATACTACGACTCTTTCAGTACACAATATACTGTGGTAACCCCAGGTTAATGGAACTTCCCCAAATCCGGGAATCTCCCACGAGTGTCCACTCATGTCTTAGTATAAACAGATAAGCTATTCAGACTTTAAAATGCCATCTTGAACTAAGTCAGGAAAATTTCCATGACGTATACACCCTTTAGTTATGGCCTTGTATTTTTGCCAAGTTAAAGGGAGGTCCTAAAATGAATAAAGTAAAAGAAGTGTTACTTTTTCATATATGAACTACGGTAACCCTAAAATGGAGACACCTGCAATTGCGTTTCAGATATTCACAAAGTCTATCCACCTTTGTAATTAAGTTACAATATAAGTTATTATATTACACATTGTCACTGACACATTTCTGATACAGGGAAAAAAATAGCATGATTGCTTTAGTAATTATAATTTTTCGGTCCATGCACCACATTCCTGGAAGTCCAGAATATAGCAAGAATCCTTTGTCATTTGATTCTATGGAGCCATTTAACGTTTTGATTGGTATAGTTGTACCAAAAGAGCAAGGAGTATGATGGTAGATCACATATGCAACAGAACCATTGCGAATTCCTTGTTGTATCAATGTCTCTGTGTTTATGTATACAGGAATTCCTTGCTTTGCAGGCATGTAGATAATATGTAGAGTTTAAGAAAAGCTGCAAATCGTGCTTTAGTACAAGTGTGCCATGATGTCACGTTTCTGAAAGATTTTGATGGCCTTTTATATTCCATTCTCTTGGCAGGGCATCTGCTCTTAGTAGGCCGGTAGTGTTATTTATTAATTGCATCAAGGTTTCTTTCCTTAATTGATGTGTTTCTTCCAATTCATATGCCACCAAATGTCATTGTAAAGTTCATTGTTGCAGAATATTGTTCCAGGATGGTTTTTTACTCCAGTAGGAAATCTATATTCTTCTTCTTCTGCTTCTTCCTATTAACCACTTTTTCTGAGTTGTAGGTATCGATCTGTGTCTTGTACTTTGAGATGCTTTGATAGTCAATCTGGTTTTGTCATTACCATGTTCCATCTTGAGAAACAGCTGGGTGTTGACAGTTATCAGCCTTTATTCTCCTTCACATTTGCAGGTTCAGATGTCAGATCATGATTCAGTCTGTTACGTGGCTATGATTCTGGTATCTTTTCTGTCGTCCTCTGTTTGTTTTATCTTGTCATCTTTAACAGCATTCACTGTCTCAGTCAGTGGTTCTGTGAACGTCCCGTTAGTATTTAGCAGGTTGTAAAATATCAAAACTTACTGTTCTCTGTTGGCTCTGATTGTTTTCTGTAGTAAAAGTTCTCGGAGTCACCCTCTACAGGACAAGCTGGCCAACAGTAGGAAATAGGTGGTGGTGCAAGACGAGGTGGGCTGAAAAAAAAGGTTCCCTAAATTTCTCTAATAGAACCAATGGTTCTAAGCTCTCCCTGGTGCAGAAATATGTTTGTCAGTGAAAAACATGTAACATTTCATATGGTGTCTCACCATTTGTATCATCAGGTATGTTGTGAATGCTCATCTGTACCCTAGGAATAAATAGATACCACTGTGAGGAACTGACTCTGCTGGGTTTCAAACCCTGGTTTACATGGTGCTAAACCTCTTCCTTACCAGTACACCAGCCTGCCTTTTGCAAATTTACCTGAGATCTGATACCATTGCTTGTAGAGTCAAGGTTATCAGTAACAACTCTCTTCAGCTGTGTCTGGTCAGGTGTCTGGTTCTTGGCCTATAAAAGCAACTTCCTGTCTCTGTACCTTTGCCAGATTATTGTGGTTCCTGTACTCTCTAATCAAGCGTGTTCCTGTTTCTACTTCCTGTTGCTGAATTTGGACTGTTTTGACTTTGCTGCTTCTCCTTCCCACTGACCTCGGCTTGCCTCACTACGATTATCATCTTTCTGTTCCAGTCTCCCATCTCTGCTTAAGACCAGAAGGCCACTCAAGGCTCAGGGGCTCAACCACCTGGGTAACGAGTGGCTACCTCTGGCAGAAAACATTGCTGATCTGGCTACTGGACTCCAAAACTTTGTAACATCAATATCATTACAACCACTGTGTGGAGCAACTAGTAACTTGGTTAATATTCATTTAACCTCAGCATTTTCCCAGACGTCAACCCCACTTCTTTGGGGGTGGTTGGCGCACTGAAATCCCACAGTAACCCAAATGTGGTCGCCCAGTTTTAGGTTTCCTTTGCAGTAACTGCAGGACCACCATCCAAATGGATGGTCCTGGGATTATCAAATGCATACTAAGGAAGTGAGACTAGAAATCGTGGCATCAGAGGTTGCACTTCGCACAGGATATATCCAAGTAAACCTGGTACATGCATCAACACATACAAAAACATATTTATAAAGATGAGATGTTGGCAAACTTCCAATATATAGTAATTCAAAAAGTATGTTAGATATTAATATTTCAATAAACAGTACATCAGTAATGTGGCAATAAGCAAATGCTTATGATTACTAAACACATGAGTTACAGTATTTCCCATATTGGACCACCAATATTCCTTTTCAGGAGTCAGAAGTACCTTAACCCTCTCTATAAGAGCTTGTCCTAGCCATGAAAAATCTTTTAGGACAAGTCTATCTTTCCTCTATAGGAAGAACAACCAACATATTACCTTCAATGGTTATTATGTAATTAACCCCTCTAAACGATAGGAGTATTTATACGGATACCAGGTGGATTATTTCTGGATATCCTTGCAAGCATAAACCCTGCATCATGACTGAGAGATAGGGTATGTGATGTGATCCAGTGACCACAGAAATGCGTTGGTAGACACATTGCATCAAAGTGCCTGTTAATGACCAACTATAAGAGGAGAGGGACCATGCTTTTTATAAGCATGTCCATACACGTATTACAATGCCAGGCTTTCAGTTTGTTACCAAAAAGCAAAATGCAGTTGTGGATATAAACTCACGACGTATCGTAAGAAAAACTGTTTGAACACCAGACTGAGACTCGAGATCAGTGAACAGTGGACCAAAATAGATAAATGAAATCTTATCAATTAATATACTTTCAATTTATTTTCTTTAAATTACTTTATCCTCTGTATTAACTATGAAATATTAAAGTTAAAACAATAACATTTAAAAGCCAACTTTTAGTGTGGATAGGAATTACAAGGCCGTTCATAATGTGAGATAAAGAACAGCTTTTTTTTAAAACCGAATAGTCTGTGAACACAAAATGACCTTGCGCTGAAAACTCATTTGCAGGTAAAAAAAAACAAAAAAACTCTTCTTTTTTTTTTTTTTGTAAATTAATTCATTAAACATAGTTAGACCCTCCCTCAAAGTCCTGATTACTTTGCAAGAAACATGTCATCCTTAAATACTGGGTAAGTCTATTAAACAGTGACATAGCATTGTTACCCTGTATATTATGTTGTCACAGCTATAATGTGCAGTATTACAAACTATTCATAAGTGTTGTGCCAACTGTTCATTAAAAGCCAGTGGTCTAGCGAGCTATAGAAGATTTATTTATTTATTCTTAAAAGCTCTGACCTCAATCGGCAAAGCAATATAAACCCTTTTTTTTTTTTTTTTTTTTTTTAGTTAATTAATTAATTAAACATTTAGTGAAAAGCAATAAAGTTTCAGATAGAATTGAAATTAGAAAACAAGCAATATATCAATGTAAAATGGAAAGTGGAATAATCCAAGGAAATTCTGTCGGTCTGAGAAAATTCTGTACTTGGGAAAAACTGGTGGATAAGTTTATTGCTAGTAATTAGAGCTAATAATATAGTAGGTTGGTGTGGCCCCCATAGTGTGTCTGATCCTGGAGGGACTTTAAAAAAATGCATTTATTAATTTGGGAAAGTAACAAGGGGTTGATAAAATTCTAGTCCCACGGGATGAGTATGAATTTTGGGTTTTAACGTTTCCTCTATTTTGATATCCATGTTTTCTATATTTTGTATTGAGATACCCTGGTAATGTCATAGAAGGATACTTGCGGATATAAGTATGTAAGAAATATATATGCATTGATTGAATTAATGTTTTTCTCTTATTAACTGAAAACATTCTAGGGGAAATTTTTTGAAATGTTGACAGAGGAATTGTATGCATGTTTATGTAATTTTTATATGGAAAAAAGAAAAAAAAATGTTGAAGAAATAAAAAGATATAAAAAAAAAATAAAAAAAAAAAAAATTAATTAATTAAACATAGTTAGAACCTCCCTCAAAGGCCTGATGACTTTGCAAGAAACATGTCCTTAAATACTGGGTAAGTCTATATTAAACAGTGACAGTGACAGTGACATTGACAGTGACATAGCATTTTTACCCTGTATATTGTGTGGTCACAGCTATAATGTGCAGTATTACAAACTATTCATAAGTGTTGTGCCAACTGTTCTTTAAAAGCCAGTGGTCTAGTGAGCTATTTATTTATTTATTCTTTAAAGCTCTGAAATCAATCGGCAAAGCAATATTGTAAAGATGTCCATTGCAATCTGATATCTATACTTGCTGCTCTCAAAAATTCTGAATATGTTCAGAGATTTCTTGGGCAATAATAAATCCCCCCAAAAAACAACAACTTTGCATTTATGCTAAACCTGCCTGTTGTAAACGGATTCTGTATATTTCTTGACATAAGTACTTGTACTTGAATCTGTTTAACAAAGCTGTTAATATTGTGGTAAAAAAAAAAAATATATATATATATATATATAATATTATTTATTTATTTTTTAACATTGCTTAATTTTTAAAGATACTTGCATTATGTCTAAATATTAAATTATGTCTTTAAGGCATAAAATATCTGCAAATTAAGATTATATACAAAAAAATGCATATTCTGGATGTTCCCCTGATTAATTTTCAATAATATATTTATTTATTTATTTATTTTTCTTAAGTCTGGAATCAGATTCACAATTTCAGTATTATATGCTAATTACGTTGTACCTGGAACCTGAACTCAAAGTGCTTTGTTCACATTAAAATCATCTCTAATGATGATCTCTCTCTGAGTCTGGGCTACAAATAGCTCATTAGATTCTTGATATCGCGCTCTGCAGAGATCCTCAGGCGGCTGCAGCTTTGCCCGGGCGGTGCGTCCATGAGGGCGGACAGCACCGCCCGGGCACAGCTTGAGGAGAGGGGCTGACAGGAGGGAAGAGCTCAGCGCACAGCGCTCCCTCCTGTCACTCCCTCGCTGTAGTGTGGCCGAGCCCTGTATCATGGTCCGCGGGTACAGGGAGCATCTGTCTCCTGTACCTGGCGGACTAACAGGAAGTACACACTGAGTGTTCACTTCCATTTAGTCTGACTGGGTACAGGAAACAAAAGCTCCCTGTACCCGCGGACCATGATACAGGGCTCGGCCACGCTACAACAGAGGTAGGGTGGTGGGGGGGAATTGACAGGAAAGGGGGGGAGAATTGACAGGGGATTGGAAGTGGGGGAATTGACAGACAGGGGGAATTGACAGGAAGGGGGGAGGGGAGGATGAACTGACAGGGGAATTGACAGGGAAGGGGGGGAATAAATTGACAGGGAGGGTGGGGGGAATACATTTTAAGGGAGGGTGGGGAATAAATTGAAAGGGGGGATAAATTGACAGGAGGGGGGATAAATTGACAGGGAGAGTGGGGGAAATAAATTGAAAGGGAGGGTGCAGAATAAATTGAAAGGGGGGAATAAATTGACAAGGAGGGGGAATAAATTGAAAGGGAGGGGGAATACATTGAAAAGGGGAAATAAATTGAAAGGGAGGGAAAGAGAAGAACAAGCAGGGGAGAAGAGAGTGACAAGGGAGGGGGGGGAGAGGCAAAAGGGGGGGGAGAGGGGAGAAGAGATTGACATCCATCACACACACAATGCACCCCTTACACACAAAGACAATGCACCCCTTGCACACAGAAAAACACACAGTGCATTACACACACACACAGACACACACAAACACAAGCAATGCAACCCTTACACACAATGCATCCCTTACACACAGAAACACACAATGCACCCCTTACACACACTCAATGCACCCCTTACAGACGCACACACTGCATCCCATACATACACAGAAACACACCTTGCAGCCCTTACACATACAAACACAGATGCACACAATGCATTCCTTACACACATATCAGGACATCCCCCTACTCCACCCCCTGTGAACAAGCTCATTGGTGGAACATGAAGGTGGACCCTGGGACCCAGACCTTGAGCTGTGTAAAGGGCCTTAAAAAATGGAGCTGCTTCCCGTTATCCCAGAACATTCATTTTTGTGACCACAGTTACAAACAGCCTCCAGAGAGCCTGTTCTACACCAGACCAGTGGAGCCAGACTGCAGCTAGAGCCCATCAGCATCCTCATCTGGTTGTAAGTAGGCAATCTAGTATATTATTCGTGGCACTTCAGCTTAATGTAGTGGTTCTGGTGTCCATAGCCTGTCCCTGCATGCCTTTTAATGTAAACAAGGCAGCACTGCAATACTGGCGTTAGTTAACATGGCAGATCATATGGGTGGGGCATTGTGATGTCACATGGGGGGGTGGCAAACTTTACTTTTGCCTAGGGCAGCAAAAATCCTTCCACCGGCCCTGCACAGTATATTGTGTACTGAAAGAGTCATAGCATAGCCTTGAAGCTTGTTTATGCATTATTGTTACAGTAATTTGTCTGGAACAAAATGGCGCAAACATATTATGCACTGAGGTTATTGCTTAAAGAAACAGTTATGAAAAACAATGTGTTCCATTTCTAACACCTTGTCAGTTTGCAATATCTCTTAAAGACAAAGTACACAGTTTAAGAAATACAAGATTTCATTCTAAAACTTGTAATATTTGCATTTGCCCATAACAAGGGTGCATGTGTGTATATGTCGGTGTGTATCTATGTGTGTGTATGTGTCCAGGGCCGGCCTTAGGCGCCCTGTGCGAAAAGTCTTCACGGCGCCCCCCACCAAGTTGCCTGAATACAGTTACACACACAGGCACCAGGGACATGTGTATCGCGAGGCAAACAAGGCATCTGCCTTGGGTGGCACTTTGCATGGGGCTGCAGAAAAAGCCACCCCCAAACCCCCAGGCAGATCCCTTGCTTGCCTCGCGTCCTGGGGGCTCAAGAGGTGGCCGGCTGGCCACTTCTGAGCCCCCCGAGGCTGGCAGCGGGCAGTGAAGGAGCATATTTACCTGAGCTCTTCCTGCTCAGCTCCCTATACGCCACTTAATGAAGCCGGGAGCCGGAATATGATGTCAGTCCGGCTCCCGGCATCACTAAGCGTCGCCTACTCAGCCTGTGCGACCCCTGCCTGCCCACCCAGCAGCCACACTGGACTGCAGGTAAGAAATCCACTCCAGCTATCCCAGGGAGGCTGGGTAGATTTAAAATAAAATTTAAAAAATATTAGTTTGTGAGTGTTAATGAAAATGTCTGTGTGTGTGTGTCTGTGAGTGTGTATTTCTAAGTGAATGTGAATGTGTGTGTGTGTCTGTATGTGTCTGTAAGTGTGTAATTGTGTGTGTCTGTAAGTAAATGTGTGTGTCTGTAAGTGTTTATGTGTGTGTGTGTCTGTGAGTGAATGTGTATGTGTTGGTCAGTGAGTGTGTATGTGTCGGTTAGTGGGGGCGTGCATCTTTCAGTGAGTGTGTCCGTTTGTCAGTGAGAGTGTGCATCTTTCAGTGTGTGCCCAAGTAATAGTGTGTGTGTATGTCATTGTTTGTCAGTGTGTATGAGAGTGTGTGTCTGTCAGTGAGTGTGCGTCTGTCAGCCAAAGTGCGGTATTGACAGGAATGGGTGGGGGAAATATTAACTCTGTTACAGGCATGTACACACACACACTCAGTTAAAGGCAGTCACACATACAGGCACAGGCACACACAATGGCACAGCTACAGTGACACACAATTAGAGTCACACACAGAGTCACATACACAGACAGTCACACACACACACACACACACACACACAGGCAGGCAGTCACACACAGACAGACAGTTACAGACAGACACAGGCAGGCAATCACACACACAGGCAGACAGTCACACAGGCAGTCACACATGCAGGCAGGCAGTCACACAGACAGGCAGTCACACACACACAGGCAGTCACACACAGACAGTCACACACACACAGGCAGTCACACACACACAAATGCAGTCACTGTAGCAGAGAGATAGTTTCATCCACGGTATCTCTGCTGGGTAACAGGAACAGCATAAAATCATCCAGACAAAATAAGTACAGCATACAATAATCCCGGTAGCGTTGTACAAATCTTTCCTTCCCAAGAACTAAATGACACATAGGCTGGGAGTCAACTGAGGTTTTAATCACAGGTCACAGTATTTATGCAGTTCCCCATGCAAGAGGTTTTCTTACTGACATTACAGGGGTTGTACAGTAGGGGACTACATTGGGAACTTAACAACCAAGATCTTTCTCCCATCATGCACTGCTGTACGAGAGGGATACTCCCACTAGAATATCCAGTTAAGTAGATTATCCCTCCGTACAGCAGAACTGGCATTTCACATAAAAATATATAACTTTAACCTTATTCCTACTGTATTACCGAATGACCGTTCAGTAGATAGCTGGGGTCTGAGCGCACATATCGTGCAATTACCGCTCCATACCCAGCACATCTAGCCGAACGCCGCATGAATTACACTTTAATATATACTTTGCCTAAATTGCACGAATACACTTGTAGGAAGCAAGTACTGAAAGACCAGTACTCCCGAACGGCCTCGAAGTCCAGCGGTATTCGTGCCGTCGAGTAGCCGATTTTAGTTCCAGGCACTCAACGGCAAAATACCGCTGGGCTAACAAAGGAACCAAGATGGCCGACCACCGCGGGGCCACCCTGAATCTTTCATAACTTCTGAAATATACAATGTTGCAATGTTTAATGGGAGCCACACGACCTTCTGTGTGTGGTCTCCCATTTGGTAGTTGGTTCGTTTTACGAACAGTGTTGAAATTCACTGTTCGTGAAACTACTGTATGAATGCTGGTGGTTTTCATGCCGCCAGCATACAAATGTTCTTGTTAGCCTAACATAAAAAATTAAGTATATGCTTGGTTCTAACATCCTTAAAGTTACAGCAACACATTAATGTAAATACAGTCTTAAAGTGGCTAGTTTTGCCACAATCACACACGCAGGCAGTCACACACACACACAGGCAGTCACACACACACAGGCAGTCACAAACACGCAGACAGTCACACACACAGGCAGGCAGTCACACACACTGTCAAGATATTTATATTGGCAGACATTTTGTGCTAAGATAGAAATTAAAAGTGTATATTTCCTGAGTCACTCAGAACAGAGCGGACTCCATTTTGGATCTACAGGCCAACAAAGACACATCATTTCTTCTTACTTTCTGTAACTAGCCACTAGCCTGAGCTAAGGAATGCATTATATAAACAAGCCAAGTGATAAGCAATGAAGCAGGTGGATGGAATGTTCTGTTTAAATGTTAATAGAATAGAAATAATTTTAAACACAGACACTAGTGACAGAGAAGACTAAGTAATTAATTTTACTTTCTAAATTTTACAAGGTCCCATTTGTAAGTAAGGGGTGAAATTGAGTTTAGAACTGTCAATCCTAGAAATTATGATCATAGTAGTTGCCACAAAGACTGAGACAAACGCTTTGAACTGACAGCAAATTTAAGTTATGGTGGTTATTTTAGATAAGCCAAATGACGTCAAAATCGTCATCAGGAAAAGTTAACTCTTTCCTGGATAGGAAGGTTTAGTGAGGCGAGACTGCCCTCTATGGATCAAATACCTAAATTGCAATCTGCAGGTTGAACAAATCTTAGTTAACTAAAGAATATATAGTTATAAACATTCCATTCTGCAGGTGGAATTAAGAATAATTATATATTAATGTGATAGTATCACGTGTTAGCATACCGCTGTTTTTATCCAGGTGTATTGATTTGCTCTAAAATAAGATAAGATATCTTTTTTAGGCAAATTAAAATTTGGCTTTTGTAATCTGGTAGATTATTCTTATTGATTGGTTCCAGGAAATGACTAATGAGCTGGTTCGAATGTTATTTTATCTGAAAATTACATGAGAATAGGATATTATATGCGTAGGAGGATCTAGCCAGCATTGAAGGGGTTACACAGTTAATCTAACTGTTAGCCAAGGTTTTATGGCGTTTTGCTTTCTTTGTACTGAGAAGTACCCATTAATCGTGTAAGTCTTGACAGGTGATGCTGTAGCTTGTACTGTGTTTAGCCATTGCCATTGTATTGCATACTTATGTTATACTAAATATTCACTGATTATTATCATGCATGCTGCCTAATATTATTGTTATTTAATTTGTCACAATAAATTATATCTATTTTTATAACAAATTGTGATTTTATTTGTATGGAATACATTTCACTTACATGATAACGATCTCTAAGATCTAAGAGAATTGAAATAGTGGGCAATTCTTAACTGTATAATATTATCATCCCATAAATATCCCCACATACCGAATGCCCCGACTTTTGTTTCTTTGCATGGGAAAATCAAGCGTTTCAACATGGGGCCATGGTCTAAAGGCAGCAGATAGGCAACCATGCTCCTCCAATGCACAGTGGCGAGATTGGTCTCATCACAGTAGTGATTTAGCAAGGGAATCTGACAAGCATAGCAATCCCTTGTAGCATATTCCCCCAATAAGAGACGGCACTCCAAAGTGAGGGTGAAGTAGAATTTAAGCTTGTAATCAAACACTCTGCTTTTATGCCCATTCTACAAACATAGTACCGCCCAAAGGGTTTTGAAATACAACCAATCAATACGTACAATACACTCAGACACTACCACACAAAATCCTCGCCTCTGCCTGTGATATAATTACTGAACTTCAGTGAGCAAGCCTGATCATCTGCTAAGCCTGATTCCCCAACTTTGCTAGCCCATTCCTTCAGTGAGCAAGCATGATTGTCTGCTAAGGTAGCCTTCTGGAAGACCACACAAAGACTCTATCCTGCACACCTTCATTTATTTATAACTTAACCACCCTGCACATATATATATATATATATATATATATATATTTGTGCTCGGAATTTAAATACGTGATGGATAGTAACTGTGAGCAAAGTTGGTTGTGGTGTGCCGAAACCAACGTACGAGTGGGCCTGTAAATAAAAGAGGGCCCACCAAGGATAATGTAGTTAAAACAGGGTGTAGGTGGGTGGGGACAATCAGCTGAGCGGCAGCGGTGAGTAGGGGCTGGGAGCTTAAGTAGGGGACTTACTCCTCCCACAAATTCAGGCCTAATGGCCTTTCTACTTGTGCTCGGAATTTAAATACGTGATGGATAGTAACTGTGAGCAAAGTTGGTTGTGGTGTGCCGAAACCAACGTACGAGTGGGCCTGTAAATAAAAGAGGGCAAAAAGATAAATTCGAGAAAATACACACTTTATTGCATTTTACAAGACCAAGTTTCTGAAAGCTTGGCGAAGCTCTTTCTCTGGTTGCGGAATATATGCGTTATATATGGAGGATTTCCATCGCCCGAGCCTTTTGATGATGTGGACCGGTGCGTTTGTGCTTGAGGCTGCTGAGGCGGCTCCTATGCGGAAGGAGTGCCCGGAGAATGCAGCCGGATTGTGTCCGAGCTTAGATAACAGGGTTCTGACATGTGACATCAATTTTGCCGTGGTAAGCGGGTGCCCTTGTAATGTTAAGAGCGGAGAGTCTGGCAGGTGAGTGCGAAAAGTAGACCGTAGTTGGTCGAGAACTTTCACCGGACACCAGGCATTATCAGTAGGGAAGAGAGGAATTATTGTAGGATGTATTGACCGGTTGGTTTTAGTGGTAGGGATAGAGAGGAGGTAGTGATCCTCTACCTTGGTGAGGTGTGAAGTTTTAAGGCATTGTGCGATATCTCCTTGACAAATCACTGTGAACTCTCTAGGTCTGAGAAAACCGTAGAAAGCGAGATATATGGCAGATTTTATCACCGTATTGGTGTAGCTATCAAATGGGGCTGTGTCAAGGAGATTGCTAAGAGACCTGAAGATAGGCCCGTCTATGGGTAATCTAGTGCTTGCGAGTGGTGGTGAAACCTTAGATATACCTTTCAAGACCTTTTTTATGGGGTATGAAGACAAAAAGGGGGTGCTGTTAGGAAAATTGGTGAGGCTGTGGTGCTGAACCCCGGTGAGGTAAAGTTTAATGGTGTTGTGTGACAGATTAAGGTGTAGGTGGCAGAAAGAGGCAAAAGACACCATGGTTTGGATAGAAAAGTCACCTTGTAGCCCGAATTCTGCAGTGAATTTATTAAATATGTTAAGTGCCCTATTGTAAGTGATAGCAGTGTTGGGTGATAATGCTTGGTGAGTGAGTGATCTAGCGTGAAGCAAGAGTGTGCTTAATCCAATATTAGTTCGTGAAACCGTGGTGTCCTGGATGGCTGATGGTGAGCTGCTGGGAGTGCCTGAGAAAATGCCTGGAATCGAGAACGAGAAAGAGCGTCAGCGGCGGTGTTGTGAATACCCGGGATGTGAGAACATACTAAGTGAAACTGATTGGATGCTGCCAGCCAGGTCAACTTGCGAATCAGCCGCATGATGGTTAGGGATGATGAGCGCCCTTTGTTAATAATATCGCAAGCTGCCGAGTTATCTGAGTAGCATTTTACTGCCTTGCCGGACCAGAGATGACCCCAGGTGTGTGCGGCCGCCACAATGGGGTAAATTTCAAATAGGGTTGAGGTTTCCCTGAATCCTGGCAAGGCATCCGTCTCAGTGGGCCAGTGGCCCCTAAACCAGTGGTTCCCGAAAATGGCTGCGAAACCGGTGTTGGCTGCTGCGTCCGTGTGGATGATGGGTGAAGAGGTGGAGAGAGGGGGGATAAACATGGAGATACCATTCCAGTCTTTCAAAAACTTCCCCCACATAGCCAAGTCAGCCTTGGCGTGGGGGTCCAAAGAAACTGTGCCGGAGTCCGGGACTCCATGGAGCAGGCAAAGAAGTCTGGAAATAAAAGACCTTCCCTGCGGAATGATGCGCATGGCGAAGTTCAGAGATCCAAGAAGGGACTGAAGTTCTCTCCTGGTGCAAACGTCATTCCGCAGGAACGTGTCTATCTCCCCTCTCAATCGTGAAAGTTTGTCGTGTGGAAGGCTAGCTCTGAGTTTGACAGAATCGAGCTCTATGCCTAAAAAGGTCAACTTTGTAGTGGGTCCTATAGTTTTGGCTGGGGACAAAGGGACTCCAAGTGTGGAAAAAAGTGCGGTAGTACTATTGATTGCTGTGGGTGTTGATGACCCTGGCTCTATCAGTAGAAAGTCATCTAGATAGTGAATAACGGAGTGACACCTGATGACATTCAGAAGCAGCCAGCATAGTGACTCAGCGAAAATGTCGAAAAGTTTGGGGCTGCTTCGGGAACCAAAAGTGAGTCGTGTTGAGAAGTAATAATACCCTCGCCATTTAACACCGTGTAAGTGCCAGAGTGAGGGGTGTATGGGCAGTAATTTAAAGGCGTTAGAGATGTCTGTTTTGCTGAGCCAGGGTCGATTACCAGATGTCATGATAGACTGTATAGCGTCGTCGATGGTGACGTACTGCAGAGAGAATTTGTCTGCTGGAATGAGTGCGTTTATGCTTGGAACAAAAGAGGAGTGCGGTGCCGATAAATCGATAATGAGACGTTTTTTATTAGAATATTTGTGAATAGCAATACCAATAGGGTTAGTGCGCCAGGAGGAAAACGGTGAAGAGGTGAAAGGACCGATCATGAAACCGTTTGTGGTTTCTGCGGAAATGAGAGTGTCTACAGCGACTGGGTCTAAACGTGCAGACTGGAGATTAGGACATTCTAGTGTACCTGGGGGAATGGCTATTATGCCTGTGTGAAACCCTTGTGAAAAACCTGTGGTGAGAAAATCCACTAAGTGCCTGCTGGGGTGACATCTTAGATAAAAAACCAGGTTGTCGATATTTATGTCGGTTAGTCATTTGTTTGGTGACAACCTGGCTGGACACATGGTCTTGGTATGTGCCCTGAAACATATGGAGCAGATGTGCAATAGTCTACAGGCGCTGAAACTGCAGGAGCCTGCGTTGAAATTATTGCACACCTGTGCTTTACCTAAAAAGGAGATGGGCCTACCCAGCTTATCCCGGAGACCACCCGCTGGCTTGTGAGGGGTGAAAGAGGAGTGAGGTGTGAACGTGGGGTGAGGGGTGAGAGTGGAGGTGGTGGGATCTGGTTCGACGGGACATAAGTCCGCCATGTGGGATGTGGAATTACAGATGGCACAAGCCGGGGGCCTGAGTCCAGCGAAGTGGCGACAGAAAAGTTCAGTGTCCATCTGACCCCAGTTCATTCTAATGTTGAACTGCTTGAGATGGGTCGCCGCCTTCGCTGAGACTGACTTGTGGTAGTCATAGAAGGTACTTGATGCCTAGATCCACTACCTTGTGGAGATAGAGATCTAGCTCTTCTCTCCTATGGGGATACACCGTGCAAATGACGTCGCGGTATATCCCGAAAGCTATCACAAACTGTGGGATAGACAATTTTTTATTAAGCCTGGGATCCCTCGTTTTAAGCACAACAGAGATGTCACCATAATTGTATGCCTTGTTCTCGAGTACATCCTGAGAGGCTATGAGTAAAGACACCAGACACACATCCTTCCCGTCAAGGATATCTTTCCTGATAGAATCTGGGACGGAGTGTGCTGGTGACTCGAAAGGTGTGATGGCTGTGCCAGGTGCTGGAGGGGGGAGTATAGAGGGACATGAAGGTATGGCAGGTACAGCCGTGGTAGAGACTGGGACTACGGTGTTAGTACCTGAGGAGGAGATGGCGCTCTCCACCTTAGACAGCCTGCTATTGAGGGCCTGTAGATTGGCCAAGATATCTGCCAGGGTATCCTGGGTGGCCGTGCTGTTACTTGGTGGTTGTCCTTGAGAGCTAGTTCCCGGCCGAGGCTCGGGGACTTGGTGGGTAAGCAGCCTGTAAAGTTCTGCCTTTCTAGCTGTGGCCGGAAAGGGGATTCCCCTGAGCCTAAGCTCGGCTGTGATTTTGGGAATAGTCCATGCTCTCAAGGACGTGGGGGTTGAAAGAGTGAGTGATTCGCCTGGAGACACGGGTCTGATTGGCGTGAATGGTGCTTCTTCTGTCAGTTCTTCGGTTGGAATTGGTTCTTGGGACATTCTAAAAAGGAATGATTATGTGAAAGATATATTAGAAGGGGAGTGAGGTAAGAAGGGGGGGTATGGGGAGTGGTGTGTCTTGAAGAACTGGACTTTAATGCTAGATGCCGAGGCGAAAAACTTAACTATTG